CGTCCTATCTTCAATACAAGAACCAGAGACCGTCCCACCTTTGTTACAAGGACCAGAGACCGTCTTACCTTTGATAGAACCAGAGACTGTCCTACCTTTAACACAAGAACCAGAGACCGTCCTATCTTCAAAACAGAACCAGAGGTCATACAATCTTTAACACAAGAACCAGAGACCGTCCCACCTTTGATAGAAGAACCAGAGACCGTCCCACCTTTGATAGAAGAACCAGAGACCGTCCCACCTTTGACAGAAGAACCAGAGACTGTCCCACCTTTGATAGAAGAACCAGAGACAGTCCCACCTTTGACAGAAGAACCAGAGACTGTCCCACCTTTGATAGAAGAACCAGAGACCGTCCCACCTTTGACAGAAGAACCAGAGACTGTCCCACCTTTGACAGAAGAACCAGAGACCGTCCCACCTTTGACAGAAGAACCAGAGACCGTCCCACCTTTGACAGAAGAACCAGAGACCGTCCCACCTTTGACAGAAGAACCAGAGACCGTCCCACCTTTGACAGAAGAACCAGAGACCGTCCCACCTTTGACAGAAGAACCAGAGACCGTACCACCTTTGACAGAAGAACCAGAGACCATCCCACCTTTGAAAAAACCAGAGACAGTCCCACCTTTGATAGAATCAGAGACTGTCCCACCTTTGACAGAAGAACCAGAGACCGTCCCACCTTTGATAGAAGAACCAGAGACTGTCCCACCTTCGAGACTCAAACCATCCACCTCAAGTCAAAGCTGGGCTCTGTCACTTATAAGTTCCGTCTGAATTGTGGTAAAATTTTCAAAATAAAAGCTTTAATTCAGCTGTTTCAACTGGAGCTGCAACAAAAAACTCAACCTTAGATGATTCGATATTTAACAAATATTTAATGTTTTGTTCTTCAGTATTATTTTGTCAAACAGACATTTAGCAGTCTTCATTTTTCTGCAGAACACAGAGAACCGTCTTCTAGACTGAGATCCTGGACCTCCTGAGTCCTAAAACGGGTCGAGACACGTTCAGTTTTCCACCTTCACGTTGCATCGCTGCGTGTTAAAAAAGAGAAACTGTACAGAGCAACAGTTTATGGGCCAGATTCAGGTTTTAGTTGCATTCAGACTTGTGATCAGAACCATCTTTATCATCATCATCATCATCATCA